GAGTTGATTACCCATCCAACACGCGTATCGCGCGTGGATGAGAACTTCCATGCATGCGCCTGCCGCGACGAAGTCACGCGGGCGGATCTCAGCCCAGCTCATCCCACGGGTTCTCCTCTTCCATGGGCGGCGCTGGGGGCGGCGGGTCCGACGACGCCGAACCTCCAGTCTGTCCGTCTCCGCCGCGAGGCGAGCGGGACCGTCCCTTTCCTTTGCTAGTATGATCTGCAGCACTGTAGCTCTTCTCCTTGTTCTTGGACGCCTTCCCCTTATTCGGCGGGAAGTGAGCGTCATGCTCGAGCGTAGACAGTGCATGCCACAGATCCAGCGTCCACCAGATGTCGTCGGACAACCGCGTGATCCGGTCTCGGTGGACGTAGTGCCCGACATGAACATCGTTCACGTAGCGCGGGTATGACGCGAGCGGGTCGTAGCCAGCAGCGCCGCGGCCCGCATCCATGGCCCCATCGCGCGCGCGCCGGGGCACCGATCGATCCCAAGCGTTGGAATACCTTGCGACAGAAGGCGGGGATTCGGTAGCGTCATCGGAAGCCCGAGCGTCTGAGACGTCGGGTCTGAGCGGTCGAGGTGCTGTTGGTGGTCTGGCTTCCACCTCGTCCTGTGCCCTTATTGATCCCACGGGAGCGGCTTCGCCGCTGTGGTGTGGAATTTCGTGTCTATTCTCGCGATCTCGCATAGATTTTAACAAACTCCTAGCAGCGGTAGCTACTGGGATACCATATATTCCGCATGCAGTGCGGAACGGTCCTGCGTCTATATCCTGGAGCTCTGTCCCAGAATCAGTATATTTAATGTGAAGCCAAGAAATGGCTTCTTGCAACAGAGCACCCTTGCAACGGACGTCAGTCTGCACCTTCCTGCCAAGATTGCGGGCCCATTCCTCTATTATGTCGTCCGTCTGAACGGCGGCGCGAATGCGGCAGTCAAGAGCATATTCATCTTTCCGTCGCATCTTAGCAATGAGGTCCGTGCTCGCTCCGTCGGGGCGAATTATTCGCCCCGGGCTACCGATGTAATATCCCTCCGAAATGAAGGAGCTTATGGTCTCGCGAACGATCGCACAAATTCTTATGGGCCGAATGCCCAGTTGCATCTGCTGTGCGGAGGCCAACCAGTTTCCATCAACTATGTCCTTGACAATTGGTGGGGCCTCATGTTCCACTTCCCCTAGCAGTAGCATCCTGCCGGGATCGCTCGGGCGTATGCCTGTGTATTTGACAACATATGGAGCTGCAATCGCCCGAGCCTCTATCCCGAACATTTTTTTTGTACTGAAGGGTCTTCGCAGTGGTTGTATACATATCCGTCGGGCTGATCATTGATCACTCCTTCGGTTATCAGCGCAGCCTTAGGCCCGCTGATTGCTGAGAAATCCAGTCCCATCTGTGATTGTTCGCCTGCCCTCGCGGCTGCGCCGGTGGCATGTGGCAATGCTGGTACTATGAGGCGATGGTCCCGACATTCGTTGATCCGTCTTGCAACGGATTGAGAACTGCGAGTCGGCCTCGCCCGGAAATTGTTCTCCCAGACGACTGGCATCCGTCCGCGAGGGTTTTGCCCTCTTGGGTTTTCTCCTACGTCTTCCACGACGTCTTCATTCTGCACAGGCAACCATGGTGTCCCCAAGGCCACCGCGCCATCAATCGTTTGAAGCGTCGGGGCGAAGACATTCGTTCTAGTCATGTCGCTGTGCCATCTCTCCCAGCCTCTCACGGGTTCGACTAAGTCGCCCCGTGCATTTGGCCAGTCGAAGGCGGCCAGAGCTGGGCAAGATATTGGGCGAGCATATTGGTCAATATTCGGCTTCCATAGCAGCGGCCACCAGGTGTTGATCGCAGGGGTCCGCCTTCTCACCCTTCTGGCTGAGTATTCAAGCCATCCTATGAATCTTCTGACCAAGGGCCTCAAATACTGGAAGAAAGGGCCATGGCGCGCCGGTGGCTGAGCCATGGCGTCCGTTGGTGCCCAAACGGGGAAATTGCCTGGCAGGCTGTTGCGAATATCTGGCCTTATGCCGCCATTTTAATATATTCCCCATTCGCAAATTTTCGCTCCTGCTGATGATTGCTGCTGATGTTCTTCATTGCAAGCGCAGAAGCTCTCTGTTGTCTATCCCCACGCATTTTGATCCATTGGGGGCGGTTCCAAGGGAGATTGTGTTGATCTCTCACCTGTAATACAAGTCCATGCGCCTCAAGGGGCCGCGGGATTATTTCAAGATTCCGCGTCTGAGACATGTAATCATGTGTGACTCTGTGCTTGCATTTAATCCGACAGCTGCAGACCGGACAATGTTCAGAGCCCGTTCTCACCCAGTGAAAACGGAAGCATAGGAACCTTCCATAATCTTCCCAAGGGGCGGATAGAACCCGTTCCTGTATTTCGGGTGACAGCTGTGGCTGGCGATTCCAAGCCAACAACAGAGTCTCGTCTGTGTGGATCCAAGCAATAATCGACTCGTTGTCGCAAGTCACTTCGTACGAGGCCCACTCGCGATTGAAAAATACCGACCAGCGCATCTGGCTCGTTTGTCTAACGAGAGAGACGGCTTTGTCAATGTCGGTGAATTTCGGCACCTCTCGGGACACCAGGGTCCCGTCTGGGCAAACCCTGTATGAGAAGCGAGTGGGCACTCGGCCGGTGAAAAAAAAAACAAGCTCCCAGGACTCGCGGTGGTTGGGAAGTTGTTCCCATAGGTGGATGGTGTCGTCTGCGGGCCAAGTCCCCACCGACGGCGGTTCTCCTGCCAGTGCCTCATATCCCATGGGCGCAAAACTCCTTGCAGGGGGGGGCTCTCCGTACCTCCGCTGGCTGAGCCACGAAGGAGTACGAGTGGGATCAGGCATTGTTGGGCCCCTTTTCGTCGGAAGCAGCCTCAGCAAATCATAGTCTGCCTCGCGACAGAGCCCTGGGTCTCTCTTCGGAAAGCGGACTCTTCCATCCGTAGATTCCAAAAATGTCTGCAAGTCCGTGATATGAAGAAGAGATCCATGACTCCTGACTTGGCCAGGGTCATGTGGGACATACATCCTTTCAATGGGAGCAACGAAAATTGAATGTCCCGGCGTGCTCGATAGAAAATAGGTATGGCGGTTTCGCTCCTCTCTCTTATATCGTGACCACATTCCATGAACACAATATCGTAGGATGGGCACTCCTTATATTGTGTCCACATTTTGTGAACACTGGTTCCAACAATCTTGTCACTACCCTTAGGAAGTATCCCTAAAACTTCCACTGTCTCTGGCGGCAACGCGGCTAAGCCGTGTGCAGCAAGAGCATGTGATTGAAAAGGAAAACCGTCCTCTTCAATTTTCTGCGCCAGGTCTCCAAAACAGACCCAGCCACCCGACGATCTCGCATAGTCAGAGCAATGCCTCGCGAGGTACACAGCGCATTTGCCTATTTTCCCAGCAAGTAAATCCGTTCGACAGCTCTGGGTACTCCATGTGTCCGTACTTCCCAATGCAGCCCGATTATCGCTGTCGTCGATCCCAACTACCAGCGGCTCAAGGCACGCAAAGGTCTCTGGAGTAAATCCTTCTGGGACATCATCGGAATGAAATTCAGCCCCGAGAAAAACTTTTGCCTGTTCAAACGTGCCTTCAGCTTGGCTGAGGCTGCTCAACAATGCGAAAATCGGGTCTTCCGCAAATTCAGCAATGTACCGAAGCGTGTTCCCCGTCTGGTTGCGGATGGCTTCGATATGCGGCGGAACGGGGCCAGTCATATGTGCGTCGCGGACCTTCTGTTTCATCGGTCCAAGGGTTCTCCGACTGACTAGTCCGCGTTCTTCTGTCGTAAGGTACAGCTGTCTGCCCTTGAACGAGACAGCATGCCCCACAATGACGTCTTGATCCTCATCACGAGGATCTATGGACAGGGGCTCGCTCTGTCTCTTATCAGGAGCAGGCGGCAGACTCATTCTGCAGAACATATTTTCAGATGCTGGACCAAAAGGTAAGTCTCGTCTTCCATAGAAGC